GCTCTGCTCTACTAACTTCCTCAAACAAACGAGGCTCTTTCTTTCATAAAGTCCCATCCCCCGTTTCAAAAAAAAAAACAAAAACAAACAGTTTTGTTGAACTACAATTCACATATCACACAATTCATCCATTTAACCCAATAGCAGTCACTCCCCACTTCCCTCAAACCCTCTTCGCCCTGGGCAGTCACTACTCTACTTTCGGTCTCAGCAGATTTGCCTATTCTGGACATTTTATAAAAGTGAAATCATGTAATATGTGATTTTTGTAATTGCCTTCTTTCACTTAGCATAATATTTTCAAGGTTGACCAATGTTTTAGCATTTATCAGTACTACTTTGCTTCAAGCTTCTTAAGATAGCTGTCTTATAAGGTCTGGAATTTTCTTTAAAATATTCCAAGGGAAAAAATAAAGGGAATATATGAAATGAGATTGGCAAAATATTGATAATCTCTGAAGTGATGAGTATACAGTTTATTAAACTATTCTATTTTTATGTGTTTCCATAATAAAAAATATTTAAAAATAGCTGTCTTTCATCTTTTGAGTTTCAGTTTAAATAACACCTCTTCAGTGAAAACTATCCTATGTTAAAGGGAACTTCCCATTTTTCCTGCCTAGTGCTTACCACAACTTTTGAGTATAAAAATGTTTGTTTCATGCATTTATCGTCTCTCTCCTGTTAGAGTGAATACACAGTAGGCAGACAGAACACATGTAGAGCCTTGCAGAGCATCTTACCCAGAGTACGCACACACACATTCAATGAATGAAATCAGAATGAACCACCGAGAACCTCTCCTTCATTATATCTTTAGGCACCTCTCAGAAAAATTTCTTGCAAAGGTGAAAAACTAGTGATCTTATTCCCCATACCATGCCCTCTGCTCAAATTTTCCTATTGCTATAAACAATAACAGTTCAGAGAGTATAACCATGAGCACTCAGAAATTCCTTCAGCTGTTCATGTTTTACTCTCAAACCATCTATTTCTTTAGACGAAAAAGTTCACACAACCAGGTCTGAATTAGCCAGATGGTATGTTTCTACCATGGTTTCACTGATAGAGCTAATCTCTCCTCCCTTGGGCAGCCTTCAGCAAAAAAAACCCAACTCCAACTTGGTATACAAGTTTGTTTCACTGAATTTTTAGAACCTTTGTTATCAACTAAGTTATACATTAATGTAAATAAATTTTTATGGATGAAATATACATAGAAGTACATTTCACAATAGTAATTCCAATAGTAAAGTAACTCCAATGATTACTTGTATTTGCTCATTTACACTGTTTAAAAGGACCTTTTATATTTTCTTTGCTGCTGTTTAATTAAGAAATTCCGCTAAACATCAGGAGCATTGCCACATAGCCCCAATCTGTCTAAATATGGCCAATAGTTTCCTGGAGTCCATAAAAATTCATGCACAATGAAAAACACAACATATATTTTAATCAGGTGTGCTGCTAAACCAAGTGAGGCAGAAGTCTTGTATGATACTACCTGTTAGACTAGTTTCCAAGAGGGGCTGCAGTTGTATAGGAAAACACGTATCAGAGCTTGTGAAAACCACAATACTCCTGAAAGAAAATGCTATACTTCTTTGGTGTCAGTTTGATTCCACAAGGGAAATCAGCATTTGTGTACCAGGACACATCTCTACAGTAAAAATGAGTATCAACAGGAAATATAATTGGATATTTAAATACTTGATATATAATCAATATTCATTTTCAAATCCTACCTATTCTTTCACATCTAATTCTTCTTCCCTTCTACTACTGCTTCAACTATACTACCAGAAACACTTGGTTTGCCAAAAAAACCTACCCTCTGGTTACTTGCTTCCCCACTTAAGCCTTCTACTAATGCCCAAGTTTTCTCTGGTCTTCATTATTTGTATGATGGAACTCTCTTTCTAAAGCCTGACATATGTGTGTCTAGGAGTCTCACTCTGTTTTAAAAACCATTCATAAGGGCAGCACAGACCACCTCATTGCCAACTTCTCCTCTCCAGCTGGCCCCTACTGCATACACTCAGGGACATATTCCAAGCATCTGGTCATGCCAATCTCACCTCAAAGCCTTCTTTTAAGCTGAATCGCATACCTAGAGCGCCTTCCTTCCCCCTCCTCTTTCATTATACAAAGAGTTCCTGAAATTCTACCTATTGCAGGAAGTGTTTCCAGGTTTAGCAGAAGAAGTGAAAGGTTCTACTGACCTAATTCTTGCTGATAGATCTCAAAACTGTCACAGATAATTCCCTTTGTTTTCTACCCCTAAAATATTTACCAACATATTCAGGGTGGTGAAAAGTAGGTTTACAGTTGTGAGTGCATGAGACACAGGATTTATTCTTATATTATTTATTAATTATTATATTATTTTCCATGCAAACAACTTAAACCTACTTTTGCCCTACCCTGTATATGTAATGCATAGAATGAGCTATGGCAAATCTTAATCATAAATACAATAAAATAACACATCAACAAGCTTACTTTTTATGCTTTTGGGGGGAAGTCTAAATTTTGTTTAAAGGGAACAAACCAAGCATTCATATAATCCCTGGTCACAAATAAATAAGCATGAAAAAATTTGTCAGTTCATTAAAGTTATACTTTGTCATGGTGGCCCGGATGAGTAGTACATTTCAGAGAATGAAAGTGGATAGAAGGTTCACCTGCCCCATCCCACATGGCTAGGTCACTGGATTTAAGGAAGATGACTTTTCTTCTATCTCAGCTTTGGGAATAGAAGGCCAAATATAAGTACGGAACAAAAATAATTTCTGCCTATTCTTTTCCCATTACGAGAAGTCAACATTCAGTCTTTTAGTTCTCTCTCTCTGTACCCACCCCGCACTCATTCATTCTCTCTCTCTGTTATTATCTTCTTTTTCTTGTAGCTATCCAACTACAGACTTACAGAGAGCAGGGATCAAGTCTTCTAGGCAGTGTTTAGCTTAGCATTTGATGCAAAGAGAATTATGGCTTCTGAAAATGATTAAGTCAAAACTTACAAATTGATATGGGAAGTAACATGGAAACTGGAAGAGTAATTTTTTCAGGAGTTTAGAAACTACAGGTGATCTTATGTTCTTGTATTTAATGCACTATAATTTGTAAAAATAAAATAACTTCAAGAATATAATGCCAAACTCTGGTCTGCATAGATGTGGGGTGTTACTTTAGAACAATCCTCATCACTAAGTACGTGGTAAGTGCTAACTGCAACATATATGATCACAGTGTTAGGCCCAAGAGGCAGCTGTCCTCAAAGACCTCATCTCCCGCTGAAGAGTCAGGGCACACAGGAAAGGCAGGAGGAACGAAAGGCAGTAGGAGCAAAGGAAAACACTGGTGAAACAGGGAGAAGCCAGATGACGGGGATTCTGAATGGAAGAGGAGGAAGACATGGACAAAGCGGTGCTTCAGAAAGATGAAACAATACAATGGAAAGAAAGAGGCAAAACCTGAGAAACTAGTGGGAAAATATTAACAAGGTCTGGTGACTGATCACCATGTAAGAGGAGGAGAGGCTAGTTCCTGCCATCTACTCTCCACATGGTATTTATTTCCCATGTAAAATGGTCCATTCCCCACGCCTTCCTCAGAGTGACTGTTTCACCAGAAATTGAAAAAAGCATGGTACAAAATTATTTATAGTCATATTATTTTCTATACTTTAAATTTAAAAATAATTTAGGTGAAAAATGTTAAATGGTATTTATTGCCATGGTTAAAAAAAATTTAACACAAATGTTTTTCTTCACCATGAGGTGAAAACAAAACTGACTGTATGATTCCCTCGTGAAAAATGATTTCAATGGTAACTCAATTATATATTATCTTCATCCATTCAACAAATATTTACTATAAAATAAATTATAAAACTATGAATTTAATGTTATTGTCCCTTGGGACTCAAATACAGTGTCAGAGACAGCTCATGAATGGGAAACATCACTCAATAAACAGCCAAAAGACAAAGGTTCCAGATTTGGCTCTGACCTTGACTTGAGATCACACAGTAAAAATAAATTACTTCATCTTTCCCAGCTTCTGCAAATGAGTACCAAAGCAACTCCTATTTCTGGAATGCTTTTAGTTTATACTATTTCCTTTCCAATTTTTTGTACTATCACTCTGCTAACCCTCTTGAAGTTGGTGAAGACTGGTTTAATCACTTCCTAATGTACAGACGAGGATACTAGATTTAAGTGATAAAGCAATGATTACAACTTAGGTCTTTGACCTTAAATATCATACTCTTTTGACTACATTAGGCTTACTGACTTCCTAAAATTATTTAAACAAATTACAATTGTAGAAATACTTTAGAAAGGTTAAAGCATTACACAAATGAAAGCAATGTTATTTTGTTTGGGTTTAACCAGGAGGGAATGCAAATTGCATGGGGCCTAGCACCTATACAAACTGGGGATCCCTCTTTAACAAAACAACACAACGATAAAGGTCTTGGAGGGGGCTCATGAAAGTAAGGTTTCCTGAAACTGAAGCTTCATTTAGCTTCAAGGTAAATCTGCCTCTGGATGTAATGCACACCAAAAATCACCAGTTGACCAACTGTACTAAGTTCGAGAATTGCCTTCTAAAAACTAACTTCTGCTTCTAAGTTGTAGGAAAAGAACACAGTGGATATACAATGAGACAATAAATAAACAAATAATTTTATTTATTTTTAGATATTTATATATATATGTAATCATATTCCCTCAAGATCTTTCATGATAAACCACATAACAAAAACTTCCCAGTAGAAGTAGTCTTTGCTATGTTTTTATTAAGATTAAAGAACAAATTACCAACTAACCACAAAAGACACAATGAAAGTATAAGAATTATTTCACTAAAATAATTAAGCTAGCACATCATATCATACATTAACTGTTTTACACACGCACAGATATAAACACACACACACTCATATTTACTCACAATTTGGCAAGCAAAAGAGCTCATTAAAAATTTTTTACCTCGTCTCCGCCCATAGCTCCTGGCTGCATGTAAACACAGAAGAAAACCATGGGTATTTGCATCAAAATGATGAATTTAGAAATAAAAAATACATTCACACAAACCTTTTCTAAGTATTCTCAGAATCAATCTGAAGATACTGTTCAACTTGACTGCAAACATATTATATTTTAAAGACCTTTATGAAGCACAAGTTAAATCACAATATTAAAGAGAAATTCAACTGGATGTAGCAGCCACTTGAAAACACATAATAGTTGGTTAAGTTTCACACATCTTATGAAGATTTATATTGAGGCCCATTACCTGTATCAGTTATAGATAGTGTCCCTTTAAAATTTTTTCTAATTTATAAATCTTCATTTGTACTATATACTATTTACCATCAGACATCACCTAAAAAAATCATTCTAAATAACTAAAAACTATAGCATGTGGTCATTCTGAATCTCTACAGATATACATACACACCCCCTTCACGGTCCCCTGAAAACAGTACAGAAATTTTACACAAAATTAACTCTTGCTTTATAGAATGTATAAAGTTTTCAGTGAAGTTTCTCTTATTCTCTCCATTTATTGAGTTGGCCATAAAGTTCATTTTGTTTTTTTCCGTAAGATAGCTCTAGTAGCACTTAGTTGTCTTTAACTTCATCTGAAACAATTTTGTTAGACTGTATTGTGACAGCTGTCATAGCATGCATTGAAAAAAATTTTATCAAAATTGGTGAATTTTTGCGTAGTCATTTTAATGCTGAAGATGGAAGAAAATACATAACATTTTCAGTACATTCTGCTTTTCATTACAAGAAAGGTAAAAACACAACTGAAACATAAAAAAGAGATTTGTGCAGTGTATAGAGAAGGTGCTGTGACTAACTGAACATGTCAAGACTGTTTTGCAAAGTTTGATGCTGGAGATTTCTCACTGGATGATGCTCCAGGGCAGGGTAGACAGGTTGAAGTTGATAGCAATCAAATCAAGACATTAATTGAGAACAATTAATATTATGCCATGCAGGAGACAGCCAACATACTCAAAATATCCAAATCAATAAAGTGAAACATGTATCTTTTATTTTACAGAAAAATACTAAGTGGAGTTTTTGGCCAACCCAATACTTCAGATAAGGAAAAAACTATCTATTTTTCATACATAAAATGAACTGGACAAGTAGAACGGGATTAAGGTTCTGGGTATAGCCCAGGTAATGCTGAGAATAGAGTACTTTGAAGATTATCTTCCTCTTCAAAACTCTAGGCCTACAGAATGCATTGTTACAATGTTTGATAGAGCTAAACTGTAGTATCATAAATTGCTAGAAGATCCTTTCATCTAAAATAATTTTCTGAGTGGAAAGTTTCTCAAACGGAAACCTCCAGTTCTGTTAAAATAAATGAAAACTGTTTAATAAATTTTTAAAGCATGAAATGTCATAATAGCTTAAAACCAAAGAACAAGGATGGTTTAGGGTTGCATTTGCAGTATAAGACAGTAGTAAAGAAAACTATTCCCCTCCTAAGAAAAGAATCCAGACTTTTCAGCTAGACAGTTGAAGTACCAGTCACCCATCTCATCTGTTAGTTCCCACTTTTCTTCGGACATCATACTCACACTTGCCTACACATCTTTGGCCTCTTCACTTTCCCATTACACAAATATTAAAAAGGATTTTCCAGTTCGAGCGCTACTTTCTCCCTAACTCCTATCACTATAATACGCAATAAAAAAAATCTCTCCTGAGATTTTTACATAGCAATTATTGTTTATATCACTTCCAAAGGAAATGCATTCTAACAAAAAATTTTTTTTAACTTTTACACTTTTTATTACTTGGAAGCTAGAATTCCTCTTTCCACAGGAAATAATAAATGGTAGCTACTTTCCTAACTTGACCTCCCCAAAAGCCTACTTTGTTTATAATAATGAGTGAACTGACAATAACAGGTAACACTCAAAAAGAGATTAAATACATTTTGACATCCTACCACTTATTCCTCCATCCCCAATACATCATGCTGCCCAACACCCCGAGCGCAAAACCTCTATTTAGAGAAAAAAACACTCTGTATTTCAAAATTACTCCTTTTTCTCCCAAAAATCAAATTCCCATTCTTTCATTCTATCTGATTTCTGGCTAGAAACTCAAAAAAAAAAAAGAATCTAATTACAATACTAAGGTACAAATGACTCATCAGACCTTAACACCCCTAAAGGATAAATGAGAGTGCTGTTCACTCAAGTCTTCATCTGCTAAATATTCTGTAATAGAAAACACGAAGTGAATAGATCCAGACAGGCTTGGGGGTGGGGGTGAGTTGGGAAAGACATACTGGGGAGTTTTAATCAAAGCTTCCTTCAATAGTTCATGATTTTTTATACATTCTTCTCTTTTTCCATTCTAATCAAGGACAATAAACTGGTTCATATCAGCTTGGGGACTGATGTCTCAGTGGCAAGATGGCATATGGAACAGGCAGCCAGCAGCTTAGTAATCTCAGATGCTTCAATTTGCTTTCTTCATTTATTATGGAATTTAATTATGTGCTACCTTGGTTCTAATTCCAGTGTTTTATGTATGCTCTCTATGGTGATTACTATTACAGCAGCTAAACTTAATGAGGTACTTATTATTTGCCACAAACTGTTCAAAATGCTTGACATGTATTAATATCATGAATATACCCCAAGACTTTATGACATAAGTATTCTTAGACTCTTTTCTCAAATGAGGAAAATGGACACAGAATTAAGTATCTCACCTAAAATCACACAGGTAGGAAGTGGTGACATTGGAATATAAACCTAAACAGTCTGGCTCCAGATTCCACACTTTTAACCACCTCATTGTACTGCTAAGTTCCTAGAGAGCAAGGTCGATACCTTCTATTCCTTTTAATGTCGTCTAATGAACCTGGCAGAATGCTCTGTACTAAGCTAGTAGTCAACAAATATGGCTTGCTAGCTGAGTATGCAATCAAGGGAGGAAGGAATATACGCCTTGATGGCCTTTAGAATGTAGGCCAACTCTGTTGGTGATTAAAAATTTGCTCATATGAGGGCCATTTGCAAATAAACTAATTAGAGTCCAACTCTTCCCTAAGGCAGAAGTAACAAAATGAACACTAAGGAGAGAAATTTGGGAGCACAAAGGTAGAGGTATGCTTTCCCCTGGGAACAAATATGAATTGTAAACAAGAAAGAATACTGATTACATAAACTTAAATGAGCCACCACAAAACAATCCCACATTGGGAAAAAAGGGAATAATTCTACTATATAATATATTCTATGATAGTACAGATTTATGTAAGATATAATAAGATGTACACTTCCTCCAAGACCTTTAATTTCTGATTATTCTCATTATCATTACAGATAAACTTCTCTTACTATTTCAGGTTAAAAAATTTCAGACCTCACAAAAATGACATTTAATTTTTAGAAGCTAAGGTACTGGTTACCCTTGGCTAAGGGTATTAATTGGAAGGGAGCCTAGAGGGATTCTGAGGTATTGTAATGTTTTGGTGTGATCTAAGTACTGGTTACCAGTACAGGACTGTGTTCAATTTGTGATAATATACCAAGCTATATACTTATGACCTGTGCATTGCTTGGGATGTATATTATACTTCAATAAAAAAACAAAAACATTACAAATATTTTAGAATGGTTCACTGAAATAAAAGTTTATAACATTAATATAGAAAATCCAAAATGTTATTATTTTTGTCTTTGAATCATAAACTTGAATAATCCAAAACTGAAAAAAATTAAAGATATTTTCAATCCATTAAAATAAATATACCCTGGCTGGTGTAGCTCAGTGGATTGAGCGCGGGCCTGCAAACCAGACAATCATGGTTCGAATCCCAGTCAGGGCACATACTGGGTTGCAGGCTGGTTCCCTGCAGGCCAGTTCCCAGCAGGGGACGCACGAAGGCAACCATACATTGATGTTTCTCTCCCTCTCTCCTTCCCTTCACCTCTACAGATAAATAAATAAAATCTTTAAAAATAAATAAATATAAAAATTCAGATGGAGGCATCTTTGCTGAGGGTCATACTGAGCTGTGAATTGCTTTAGGGGCATCTTCAGGAGTCAGCAATATGGCAGAAGACATCAAGGCCAAAATCAAGAAGTTCCAGGCTACCCCACTGACAGCTGCTTTCCCAACCAGAACCAGACCAGGAACTGCTGGTAGAACCACCTGGACTTCCATCATGTTGAGAAGGCAATGCCTCCTACAGGGGGTGATGTCTCCATGTGCTAATGGCGTGTGTATAAGCCCCTCTGTGCCATACCCTGGGTATTGGCCTCAGACAACCACCAGGCAGAAGGCACGTTTCCTGAGACCTGAACTGGCTGCACTCCACCTGTCCTCCATCCTTCTCCCAGGGAGGTGAAGGGGAACCTGGGTACATCTCACCCTGGGATCCTGAATCACGGCTTAACTAATAATAAATATTTATTGGAAAAATGTAAAAACATACCAGATATATAACGAGCAGAACAAAGGCAGGTTTACTGTTGTACGTGAAACAGTGTACTCTATTACAGTTGTCTCAACTTTTTCCCCTTTGCACCCTGCCACCCAGCACCCCCCCACTCCCTCAGACAATCCCCACACCACTGTTCATGTCCACGGGTCTTGTGTAAAAGTTCTTTGGCTACTCCATTCCCTATACTGTACTTTACAACCTCATAATATTCCGTAACTAACAATTTGTACTTCTTAATCCCCTCACCTCTTCACCCATTCCCCTAAAGGCCCCTCCCTCCCTCCTGGCAACCATCAAAACACTCTCCTATCCATGATGCTATCTCTGTTCTTGTTGGCTTAGTTTGTTTTTTAGATTCAGTTGTTGATAGATATGTATTTTTGCCATTTTATTGTTCATAGTTTTGACCTTTTTCTTAAATAAGTCCCTTTACATTTCATTTAATAATAGTTTAGAGATGATGAACTCCTTCAGTTTTCTATTGTCTGGGAAGCTCTTCATCTGCCCTTCAATTCTAAA